TGACCACCAGGCCCCTCCGACCCTCTGGCCTTCCCCCAGGCGCCCAGGAGCCAAGCTGGGACGACTTGGTGATCTTGCTGGCGGTGACAACCGCGGTGGCCCTCACCGTGGTGTTGATGCTGCTCTTCAGAAGGTAACTATGGCCCCTGCAAACAGCGCGCTCGGTGAGAGAGGCGGGCGACAAAGGGCTCGTGTTGTGTGCGTCTATTTACAGGAAAGGTGAGAGCCAGCAAATCCACAGGACAGAGAGAGGAGTGGGGGGGACCACGGACCAGGGACGGCGGGGGGCATCACTGCTCATGGATAAGGAGTTGCTTTGAGGTGCTTGGAGAGACCTGGGGTGCTTAGAGAGATGTGAGGTGCCTGGAGATAGCAGGGGTACCTTACAAGAAACTTGGGGTGCCTGGAGAGATTTGAGGTACCTCAAGAGACTTGGGATTCTCCGACAGACCCGCGGTGCCTGATAGACCTGAGGTGCCTGGAGAGACATGGGGTGCCTAACAAGACACTTGGGGTACTTGTAGAGCCTTGGAGTGCTTGGAGAGTCCTGGGGTTCTGGGAGAAAACTGGGGTACCTGTATAGACCTGAGGGGCATGGAGAGTCCTTGATGCTTGGAGATACTTGGGGTGATTACAGAGACTGGGTGCCTGAATAGACTTGAGGTTCCTGGAGAGATTTGAGTGCCTGGAGAGATTTGGGGTGCTTGGAGAGACTTTGGGGTGCCTGAGGGGCCCTGAGATACTTGAAGGGCTCTTGTCACCCCAGCAACCCTCTCCCCTGCACCTGCCCCACCCAGGTCTCAGCTGGCTTGGCGAGGCAGTGCGTGTGTGAGGCCCCCTGCGAGGAGTCCTCTGTGCTGGGGAGGGGTCTGGCCTGAGACGTGGGAACAGCATGTCCTCAGGCTCAGCTCTTCCTCCACCTCCGGGGCTGAGAAAGGGGACCACCAGGTCCCTCAGAACGGCAGCGACCCCAGAGCCTGCAATCACCCCATCTCCTGACAGTCGGGTCCCGGCGCCTCCCGGATCAGCCGCCATCACGGGGCACCGGGTCCTCCCGGGACACAGCTACCAGCACCCCATGCCCCCCACACAGGAGAAGGACCCCAACATGGTTGGTGTTGGTCGTACGGGTGCAGCTGGTGGCTTCACGCTGGGCAGCGCGGGGCCAGTGGCTGCGGTGCTTCACGTGAGGGAGTAGATTCTGAGTCTGGGATGAGTTCCCTAAAAGGGACACCCGTCCCGGATTCAGAGCCCACCCCGATGCCTGGC